TTTTTTTTTTTTTACATTGTTGTTAGGGTCTAAACAAATATAAATTTAGGGGCTTGGTGTTGAAAACAAAAATGGTTTTGCGGAACTGAAGGGTGCCAAGCCTCGCTTTGCGCGTGAGAGTGTCACTGAGCTCGACTTTACCAAAATAAAAACAACCCTTCCTTTAGAAAAAAAAAGTGGGGGGGGGGGGGGGGGTCTTCAATAAAAAAGTAACGGATTAAAAGAAATCCGTTACGTAAAAAATGTAAGGGAATTACTTTAAAATTACATCAGAAAATATGTAATTATTCCGTTACTAAATTACTGATAAATGTAAGGGATTACAAGTAATTTCGTTACTTGTAACGGATTACGTACAAGTCTGGTTGTCACCGGATACTACCTTGCATCTGAATAACCTTACCATCGCTGTAAAGGAGGCGCATAAGTTTCTAGGCGTGATATTCGACAAAAAGCTAACATTCGTACCTCACTTGAAAGAACTAAAACAAAAATGCCTACTATCTTCCAATATTCTTAAGGTGCTGTCACACACTACTCGGGGGCCTGACAGACAATGTCTGCTGCGAATTTATAACTCTAGTGCGGTCCCGGTTGGATTACGGTGCACCGGTATATGCGTCGGCACGACCATCTGCTTTGAGGATGTTAGACCCAATCCATCACTTGGGGCTGCGTCTAGCCACAGGTGCTTTTCGCACGTCGCCCGTGCTGACTCTGTATGCTTAAACGCATCAGATGTCGCTTGAGCGACGCAAACAATATCTTAGTCTGTGTTATGCCTACAAAGTTTATAGGGATCCGTACCAACCTTCATTCTCCGCTCTGCGGACCTCTGCATCACTGCGCCTTTTTGAGAATAAGCCTAGTATTGTTTGGCCCTTGAGCCTTCGGACTGAGAGCATGGCAAGGTCGCTGCACCTTTCTTTTGATGAGCCTCCCTTGTTGAGACAGGCCTATAGGGTTGTTCCTTGGGACTTGGTGCCAATCTCTTACGATTGGTCCCTTTCAAGGTACAGCAAAAAGGTTGTTCCTCCTTTTGTTCTCTTGCGGAAGTTCGCAGAGCTAGGGCAGAAATATAGTGACTATCTCCACTTTTACACTGATGGCTCGAAAACGTCGACTTGCGTAGGGTGTGCAGTTTGTTCTCTCGCTTACAGTTAAGTTAGGCAACTGCCAGCATTTTGTGATGCTTTGTGTGTGTTCATCAAATTGAAGATTATATATTTATGTCAGAACCGCTGGAGCCTCCTGCTAAACAGGCGTGTTAGTTTTATGAAGGCAACAAGGGCGGCAGTGGCTCCCCGCCCCTGTCTACTCCCCCATCGGAAAGCAAAGAAAGTTCTGTTGAGAGCTGGGGTCTTAAGAGATCGGCAGAAGTTCCATACCATAATTCCTCGACAAGACAAGTTGCGAAGTCCTTCAAGATCATGAGGGTTTTGATTAGCTCCATGGCAGGAGCTGCAAGAACAGCAGTTTCCCTTGTTTAGTGAGCAAAAATTATCTCCAGCAGTCACACTGTAATCAATAAATTGTTCATATGCAGTAAGGTTCAAGGTTCAAGGTGTTTAATGGCACAACTTCCACACAGCCGAGTGCCTGAGGCAGCCAAAAGGCAGAAGACCATACAACCAAGTGCTGGCTGCTTCCTCTCTTTCTCCCCAGCTGGAACAAGTTTCTGCACTCTTGGCATTCCTAACTAAGGAGACAATCAGGTCTTTATATGACTTTGATATGGAAACTTGTCATCAGTGTAAGATGGCGTGCAAAACGATGACACTTGAAGAGGAGCAGCCAGACGCTGAATCCTTGTATCCCTCACCCTGGTCGCTGAGCAGGTGGCACCATGGTTACAACTGATCCTCGGCCACAGCAGTAACGGTATGACCTAGGACGGTACCCTGGACTAAAGGGTGTTCTGCTGCGGTTCGGATCCAGCTGTGCGGGAAATTGGCACCTTAGAGATTTCTTTTTCTAGGACAGGGTTTATGCATGTTGAAGCATGGCATCAGAAGTTGAGTTGTATCAAGAGCGTTGAGAGTAAGTGCTCGGAGAGCTTGTCCAGTTAACTTCTTGTCCCAGCATCTCAGCATGACTGTAATCTGCTTCAACATTAAAAATAAGTCTGTAGGTAAGTAGCTAAACATTCGGATGGTTACTAATCTGCTGCACCTCTTCTTTTTGTGGAGTGCATGACGACACTCAGCTTAAGGGGGGACACTACCCAGAAAAAACAATTTCTGCAAAAAAAAGTTGATTTTGAAAAATGTCCTATTTACATCCACCAACATCTAGAGAGTATTCCCAGAAAGTTTCATTAGTTTACACTGCATAGTTAATTTTTTATAAATTATTTTCGGTCCACCAATGCTAAAGAGAAGGTAGAGGTTGGAGTACCTTGAACACATTTTTCTCCGTTCCACTTTTTGGCATAAATTTCACTTTAGGAAAACTATCGTTTTGTTAATACGCAACTTGGATTCATTTCTACGAGTTTTTCTGGGGTGAAATTTAAAGGGGAAGATAACTATGAGCTTGTATTTTTTATTTTTGTCATTTTTCATGCTCAAAAACTAAAAATTTGGACAAAGGATGGAAATCTAAAAAACTGTATTGTGTTTATGTGGCTTTTTTGTCATGAAAGATGGTATAACATAGAAATATAGCTCCATAGTTATCTGCTCTGAACTGTCCTAATGCAATGTAACACATGAAAACGACATATTTATAAGTAATTTCAAAACGATAGTTTTCCTACACAGACACGCCCACTTTCGTCTTTGAACGTTTGCAATTTTTTTTGTGCTTCACCCAAGTTAACAAAAATTGGCAGAAATGTTCTTAACATCAACAGAAACAAGCCCTGTAAATGTCATTTAAATCAGGCAAGTGGTTCAAATATTAACGTTTTTGGGTAGTGTCCCCCCCTTAAAAAGAGCTACTAGAATATGAAGATGCCATGAGTACAACGAGAATATGGTGAATGTAGGCATAACGGAATGGAAGTCCTTGTTACACCTGGTCCACAGATCACGGAAAGTTCGTCGGAGTGCTTTTCACTCTGAATGGCATGCACACGAACTCGCAAACCGAAAGGCATTGTTAGGCTCCTTTTGAATTACCAATGGCTTGTCTGGTATTGGTGCTAGGACTTACCAGATCGACCTTGGAAAATATGGCAAGCTATTGTTGAGCAGTGTAATGAAGGTGCTGATGCAAAAGAACTGTGTTTTTCTGTTTTGTAGCAGCTGTATATGGCAGAACTACATCGTACAGCGCATGAATTATGTGCAAAACTAGCTTTTTTAAGTTGATGAGTATAATCAGTGCGTAGAACGCACACATTCATACATGGATATGTTAGCAAAAATAAAAACTAATGTCTCGTTGCAAGGACTCACACAAAAAGCGGAATTTGTTGAGAACCACATGTAAACTGGTAAAATCACTGCAGTACACTAACAACAACAAAAAAGCTATTTTTATGTTGGCACACCACGCTTCCTCCGCATTAAGTTGTGCATACGACCGCTGCTGGAAATTCTGAGGAAAGCAGTCTGAGTAGCCACAGTCGGCAGCGACCCCAGACATGCTCAACGGGGTGCGAACCGGACCTGGATTGGCCTCGACATCATTGTCGTCGCACCCGTTTCGCACCCAGGCGGAGCCTGGGGCGCTCAGCACGTACTGGGCCGTGGCGGGCAGCTGGGCGAAGAGGCCAATAACAGCTGTACGTGTTGAAGTCTTGGAGAAAACACAGACGGCAAGCGTCGACGAGTGGCTTAGCCCTTTACTGCACAACTTTTTATTTTTTCACAATTTTATTCCAGCAGAAGTAGAATACCACAGTTATCACAATACTATCACTAAAATAAATTTCAAAGTTTCGGAAAAATTTATATCGAAAAAAGATAGGTATGTTGCATATTTGCAACAAGATGGAAATAACGAAATATTTATAGCCGAATGCTAAAAATTTGTGAACCAGAGCCAAACTTGTATTTACAGACATCAGTGAGAGATGTGGCCTCATTTGCTTGTGTGATACAAAAGAAAGCAGTTATTCTTGCTTGTTGAGCACAGGTGAGTGCCACACTTAGAGCAGTAGCTCATACAAATGCCCCTGCATCCAGGAAACTTGCAACGCTGTCGCTTCTGACTCCAAAGCACCCAGTGGCCAACCTGAGCATAGAAGTATGAACAGTGAGGTTTGTAACACAGATTAATTCGCCAGTGATAATACCTGATCAATCCTGACATCTTGAGGTGGACACGGTGCTGAAGGACCTCTTGTCTTCTTCAGCTGGATGCCTTGCTCCACGGACTCATTGCTGGGCCTTCCCCTTTTCTTCAGTTGATTTTTTCCTGCTTTGCAGAGTGACGTGGCGAGGTCCACCTTGAACTCTGCTAATGGCATTAGCTTTCGTGTTGGTTGATCGGAAGTAGTCTCGGCACTCCTCCTGTACAGCAGCCAGGCATTTACAGCCGTCAAGTCGAGAATATGAAGAAAAATACGAAAGTACCATTTCTTCGATCGGAGATGGGCGCGGTAGAGGGAGATCAGAGAGTCTAAGAGATCCACTCCTCCCATGTGCTTGTTATAAGCGCCTATCACCGACGGACACGGTATGTCGCGCCTCTCCTTTTCTTTTTGGCTCCACCTTGGCGCAGTTAGGACAGGCTCTGCCCCAACAAAGGTGGACAGCAAGGTGACGGCTCTGTTGTCTTGCCACCTTGTACACGACAGCTGAATGCCATCCAGGGTCGCTACCTTCTCTTCAAAGCTTCCCCTTCCTTTCTGTTTCATTTCCTTGTCAGATGGCATGCTGATACCCGTTACTCGGTTGATCCGGACTGTACCAATGCAGTGCACGGTTTCTTTTTCCAGGGACACCTAAAGGGTTGGACAGTTGAAGTAGTTATCGAAATACACTTTGTGGTGGACTCCTCTTGGGATTAACCTGCACAATCGAACAACAATGTTCCCGCTTGCTCCACAGTCAGGCTCTCCTGCACGTCTTGGGGCAGAATTCTTGTCCCGTGTACAGTTCTAGCTTGTACGAGAAGCCACTTACTCCTGAGAGAACAAATACTTTGTACCCCCATTTTTTTGGTTTCTGGGGACAGTACTGTTTCAGTGCACTTGCGCCTTTGAAAGGTATAATCTGTTCATCCACAGACAAGTGCTCTTCAAGCGGTATCAGCGACAACTGTTCATTTACAGCATCGACGAGCGGTCGTATCTTTGCAAGCCGGTCTCTATCAGGATCATCTCTTGGGCCGAGAGAGCTGTTGTCCACAAAGTGAAGGTTGTGCTTCAACTGTTCGAAGCGTGTCACCGTGAGGTGGTCAGCTACTTGGCTTACTCTGGTAGCTTCACTCCAGTACCACCTAGTGTTCTTCAGCTGAATTATAGACATCCACATGCAGGTGCCTAGAAAAACTTCAATCTCCTCGGCACTGGTGCAGAGGGGCTTACTGGCATCCTTCTGGACTGAGTACAAATTGCTCTCATTTGCAATAAGCGAAATAAGAGCGCCTGGAAAGATGAACTTGAAGTATTGGAAAGGTGTTTCCAACTCTGAAACTTCCTGCGGAAGCTCATTTTGTCCAGTGAACTTCACTGTTTCAGGATCCCGCATCAGGCTTGCATTCTTCCAGATAATTCTTCTCTTAGATTGAGTTGATGACTGATCAGCTGGTTGGCTTGCGGGAGCTTCCTCTTCGTCAGAGCTTGTACTCGCCTCGCTTGAACTGGCACTACATTTTGCAGGGGGTTGGACATCTGGGGTACAAAAAATAACAGCGTCTCGTACAACTCATACAATGAGCAGTAAAATAAATAATTTGGAGAGAAATTCTACATTGTATAGGGGACTATCTTCCCTGGCGGTTCTAAGTGTGCTCTTTGAAAGCGTGAAAACAACCCTACAACTTTGCAATTGTGTGTAGTTACACCTGACGAAGGATGGTCTCTTCCGAAAATCTCTGTCAATAAAGCCTACACTGCTTCTAATTTTATTCTCTACGTGAAAAAAAGTTGGATTTCCAGAAAAAAAACATTAACTTACAATCAGAGTCATCGTCACTGCCGGAGAGCTCGCTGTCCTCACTGTCGGAAGGAATTCCACGGCTGTAAAACCGTTTGGGGTCCATTGTGTCTGCTCTACGAAGAAAAAACACCGTCGTGCACGTTGTTGCATCTGTGCAACATAGCTATTTTTTGCTTCCAAAGACAAACTTCGTCGATAATCTTAAGGTTTTTAGTATTTACATAATCAGCAGGACATTAAGTTGAGTCGCAAATTTTTTGTTTTGCATTACACTGTATAGAACGTGATATGCAGTAGTCAAGGCTTACCTATGTCACTTGTTGAGCGTCCACGTGGTGGCTGTCACGCTTTTTAGAGAGCAGTTTCGCCGCCTGAGTACAGATGGCAGCACTGGACGGCTCGCCTCGCGGATGTATGTTGCAGAAATGCAACAACGTGCGGAACTAGCACTGAATGCATTTTGTAGATGTTTTTATCGTCGTTTATCGCTATGTTGCGAATATGCAACAACGTGCAGTAAAGGGTTAAGGCTAGGTACTTCTAGCAGAGTGTGTTGGATAGACTGCAGCTCACGCAGGAAGAACTGTCTGTCCCTCGTCTATTTTCAGTGTTTTTATTCTCACTGTGTGAACTGTGGCCTAAGGCTGCAGCGTCACGTGGCGAGAGTAGCAAGGGGGCGTTGCCACTCGCAAGCTTGTGGATGTCTGTCAAAGGGCAGCGGGTAAAGATGTATTTAGGAAGTTGTTTGAGCTTGCCTGTTCATAGTCTCAATGCTCTCTTTAAAGCGGCGTAGGACTGACGGGATCATGCAAGCCTTCTTTTTCGGGCTCTTAGAAGGCCACCTCTCCTGAGACTCCACCTCACAAGCCTGAGCCTCGCGGCTCATCGCTTCGGGACAGGGGCCCGTTCGTCTGCAGCTCCGCAGGGTGCGCACTGGAACCCGATACCCGAGCAAGCTGCCTTTAATTTTCACCACTCCAGGCTTCTTGCGCATCTCGATGAACTCTGTTGACTTTGCGCTTGAGAGCGGCCTTTTCTTCGTTCACCTCACTACATCGCACAGTTCTTCAGATTCTGGAATTGTTGAATTAAGGTGCATTTGGTTATATGCACTTCGATCAACCAGTTACTTATAAAAAGAGGAATGCTAGGGGGGAGAATTTTCGGCATACCTGGCACGTTGACAGTCTGCGCGTGGTAGTAGCCCCCCTTGGTTGTTATGTTGCCGCTCCAGAAGACATTGTACAAAAAGTCTGGGTTGAAATCCCCGCACGTAACGGGGCGGAAGTCTTATATTTCTTCTAGGGACAACCGCTGTCGTCACGGTCTATCTTATATCCCACCAACGCAAATAATTCGCACATCACTAATCCAAGCTCTATGTATAAATGGTACCAAAGCTTCCATGGAAGCTCATAAGGCGCGAATATGGCGGCTCATTGGGTGCAGCGCCATTTGTGAGGTGTGCGGCATTGCCGCTAGTCATGCTGGCCTGCGACGTACGGGAAGTGACGCCTTATTAAAAACAAACAGAAAATGACGCAATTTCCTTTTGACTGCAACATCACGATTGCTCTTCGCTAGTGACACAAAATTTAAATGCCTTTCGCCAGTGACACGAAATTGAAATGCTTTTTTTATGTGTTCTACATGCCTGCGCAACTACTGTCCTTCATAACTTGCTTCATACAAAGTAAAGTGAATGGTACTTAAGCAGGCACATAGAATACGGAAGAAAAACAATTAGACACGTTGGCATTGCTACTTGTAGTGCATTAGACATTGGAATCTATCACTTCCATATAATCTCTTTAGCAAAAGAACCACTTTTTTCATCAGTTCTGGGAACCACCAATAAGTTAATATATTTTTGAAATTATCCAGTGTGTTACAGCACGTCAATGAATGGATGCTTATTATTCAAAGTGTCGGAGGGTTAGGCGAGTGGCCAAGAGAAGGCGCCACCGCTTGGGAGACGGGGGGTGCCCGGAAAAAACAATAAACGCAAACTCGCCGGACAGTACTGACTCCCTGCCCAACCGGTACATGGTGGCATTTTCGTAGTTCTTGCCTTCGTCCTCAGTCAGCTTCAAAGAACAAAGAACGTCCTCCCCTTCGCGGCCCATGGCGTAAACGTGTTTACTTGCGTTTCTTGAGAGCGGAGACGCAACTCGGTGATTATCCTGTAGCGTTGCCATCTCGTGAACCACGTCTTCCACGTGTGCGGCTGGTGAAAGTCGAACTTTTCCAGCAGTTGTGTTGAAATCGGGTTGAAGTAGCTGCTTCCCGCTTGAACCGCTGCTTTTTGATCCGTCATGTTGGACCGGCGTTGTTGCGCAGTTAAGCGTGTCCGCTGCTCCCACTGCTGCTTCGGTTGTGCGTGCCGTGCCCGCTACTGTTGCTCTTATCGCTGACAAACTAAACCACTGAGAGACCTACTTCGTCATGATGCAGTCTGGTACTGGGGAGAGGCTCAGCAGCAAGCCTTCCAGCAGACCAAGGCAGCTCTCATCACAAACTCGGCATTGGCAATGTACAACCAAAGAGACCACTTGACACTCTTGGTCGATGCCTCATCCTATGGATTGGGTGCTGCGCTCCTCCAGGAGTCCCAAGGCGAGCGATGACCAGTTATGCATCCAAGGCACTAACGGAAACTGAGCAACGCTATGCCCAGATTGAGAAGGAGGCACTAGCCATCATGTGGGCTAGTGGCCATTTCCGCACATACTTCCTAGGGCTCCAATTTCATATTGACACTGACCACAAGCCCCTTGTGCCACTTCTCACCACGAAGCGTCTAGATGAACTCAGACCTCTTCTGCAACGTTTCCGCATGCGACTACTGGAGTATGGCTTAACGATCTCCCACATCCCGGTAAAGAAGATCCACCCGGCAGATGTGCTGTAACGCAAGCCACTTACTGGAGCAGGAGAAAAGGAAGCTGCCGACCTGGAGGAAGCCGTTCTGGAGTATGAAGTTCTCACAGTGGATCTGTTACCTGCGTCAACAACACGCTCTCACGTATCAAAGATGAGATCGGGAAGGATCCTGTCACGTCTGGAGTTCTGCTCTACGGGCTGGCCGAGCATGAGAGCTCTACCACCAGAACTGCGGCGATACTGCGAAATAGCAGGTGAACTCGAGGCTGCATTACTGTTTATTGGTCTGGGGGACAACTACAGCAAGTAATATTAAGCAATTATTTACATTGCAAAAACGCGCAGTTAGGTCAATTGATAATTTACCTTGGACTGAATCGACTTCCCCTAGCTTTATTAAACATGGAATATTAACGTTAGACAATCTTTTTTGCCTAAAGGTTGCAATTTTAGTTCATACTCAAATAAACAAGAATCCCGCAATATTTTACGAAACATATTTATTTAAGCAAACAAATTACAATTTGAGACACCAGCAGTTTTCAAAACCTAAAATAAGAACTAATTACGGTACACAAAAAACATCCTACCAGATACCCGATCTTCTTAAAAGAAATTATAGTGTGTTCGAATTAGCCCAGACAATAGCGTCCGTGTTTCTTTTCAAAAAATACCTTACGGTATACTTCAATGTGCCTAGTGTGTATTCCTATTATAGTTCACATCAAAATAGATTGTACATTTTTGAGTGTCATATTTTTATCTTCTCAGATATTGTTTTATTTTTTATTTATGCTGTTTTTGATTCATTTCCTGTGCCCTGCTGCTGAGTGCTGTAACGGGGGTTGGGGACCTAGTCAGGTGATTCGTTTTCGCCTTTTGTCCCAACCTCCCTGACCTGACTGTCCCAACCTCTCTCGCCACGGTGCGAGCTTGAAACGGGCATCGTCCCATTAAGCCCATTTCCATGCTTTAAGCAGTAATATCGTCCAGTTATTTTAATGAATATTTGTCCCGGGTTTCAGCACCAATATTCTAAATATTCCACCGACAGTGTCTTATTCTCTGTATGTGGATGATGTGCAAATTTCAGTTTCTTCTTGCAACCTGTATAGTTGCGAACGTCAACTGCAACTGACAATCAACAGAATGAGCAAGTGGGCAGCCGAAAATGGGTTTCGTTTCCCCCCGACAAAACCGTATGAGTTCCGTTTTCGCTGCGTCGAGGGTTGTCGCCAGACTTGTGCACGTTACTGAAAAATAGTAAGGAATTACAGTTACAATTACTCAAGGCTAAATTGTAATTTATTACAATTACAATTACCCTTCCATAAAAGTAAGTGACCGTTACCCCAAAAAGTAATCCGTTACTTTCGTGGCGTTACTTTCAAGAATATTGCCTTCAATTAAGAAACAAAAGGAAGAGGGTTATTCAAGTTTTTATTGTTGCAACCTGTCCCATTTGCGGACAGGCGACGGCGGAGTATCGGGTATCGTTAATGGAGTGATCGGACCGATCGACTAAAATTCTCGATTCTCAAAATCGCAAAGCTGTAGAAGTCATCATACATCTAGCCAAAACTAGAATAAGAATTGATTTATGCCCATCTTACTATACCGGCATATATTGCCAGGCAATAGCAAAACATCGTTGTAACAGTAAGGTGATAATTAAATAGTAAATAAGGTTTGGCTCGATATTCTCCTTCCTTTGGTTCTGAACAGGTTGAGCCTCGGTTGAGACGTTGGTGAATAAATAAAAGTTTCCAGTAAATGAATATAGTAATCGAAAAAAAGGAAACTCATAACAACAATTAATTAGAACGTCGGTTAAAACAAGGAAATGTAAACGCACGTTTGTCGTGTGTACCTTTTTTGGTGCCGTTTAAAAACGCACGGAGCACGAATCGACTGCATTTTACTCCGGTGTTCTCCAGATAGACGTCCGCTGATGCCACGGGCAGCGAAGGGCATAGAACGAAGTAAGCCGCGCTATGGCCCCACTCTTGAGTTTCACTCTCTCCCCAAGCCCAGAATATCAAGTCTACGTCAGCCACCATTATGTTTTATTTGTAAGAATATCTGCTTGAGATAAGATGCGTCCTGCTGGGGGAAAAACGGGAAGAAGAAGAAAGGAAGACTATTACCATTTTGGAAAGTGCTCACAAAAAGCTGACTCACAAAAGGGGTGACTGAGATGCAGATAACCTGGCTGGAATTCACAAATGAAGTGGGCCAACTCTAGAAGTTGGACTACAAAAAATTAAGTAGCTTTTAAAACAGGGTAAGGTGAAAGAAACAGAAGAAAAAATACATCCTGTTTTCGAGAAGATAAATGTGCAGCAACGAACGAGGATGCTTGTGGCAATAGCACTTTCACATATCACATGAATTTAGGGTATACG